TTAAAAAAAAAAAAAATGTGTTGTGTTCATGCTGATGCCTTCAGAGAGAACTGCAGGGGAGGAGGCAGAGGTACAGAGACAAGGCAACACTGCTCTTTCAAAATGTTAGCAAGCCTGAAATTTTTCTTGAATTTTTGGAATCAGGAATTGTTTTAAATGTCAATTGGAGAGATTTTTATATTGCCATTTGTACTTTTGGAGTCCTGGTATGGTGCTGTAGAATGAACACTCGGTCGGTTTGAACCACAAGGTTGGCAGTTCAAACTCACCAGCCACTCCTTGGAAACCCTATAATAAGTCGGAACTGACTCGACGGAACTTAATAACAATTTGTACTTTAATTGACTTTAGGCTATGTTCATAGCCCTGCCCCTCATCTACACATACCCCAATGACTAAAATAGAACTTTAACTGTGGATTTGAAAGATGACTTGAAATTTTTTCAGCAGCGAATTACCCATTTGTGGAAGGCCATTCAAAGATAAAGTAATCATTTACCCCGTGCCTCATGTCCAGCACATTTTGGAAACTCCCCTAGGGAGCTGGAGAAGATTCCAGAAGCTGTACCATTCATGGAGATGGAACTTGGTAACCATGAGGAGGTGAGAGCTGACTAATATAAGATATAGCAAGGCCAGCGGAGAAAGCGCATCTCAGGGTAAACTCAGAGAAGCTACTGAGACCACATGCTAAACTTCACCTCTCTGGTGTGGGCTGCTGTGAACCAGTGACTCTGCACATTAGAATCACCTACAATGTTTAGAATAAGGAAGCCAGGGCCCCACATCTAGAGCTTCTGATTTCCTTAGTTTAGCATGGTCCCAGGCATTGGTGGTGGTTATGTGCTGTGGAGTCAGCTCCAACTCATAGCGACCCCGAATAGAGTTTCCGAGGCTGTAAATCTTCACGTGAGCGGAAAGCCTCATCTTTCTCCCATGGAATGGCTGGCAGTTTCGAACTGCTGACCTTGAGGTTAGCAGCCCAACTTGTTGTTGTTAAGTGCCATCAAGTTGGTTCCAACCCATAGCGACCCTGTATAGGGTTTCCGAGGAGTGACTTGTGGGCTTGAACCACTGACCTTGCTGTTCAAATGGCTTTGCAGTCTGGCACATTAATCCACAGCGCCACACCAGGACTCCAAAAACAAGACACTGAGAAGCATGAAATTCTAGATATGTCTTCTGGGGAATGTACCATGATCTAATAATGTAAAAGGGATAACTACCACCCACTTCAGAAATTTAAAGTTGAAATGAGTAATTCCAGTATAGAGTTCAAAGCTCATTATTTGTGGGCTCTTCTGGAAATCACTGTCTTTGTCTAATCTAGGAAGCTAGGATAACTGTTGCGCGATTGAAGTATTAATTGAGAATCTAAAGAGGTGATGATGGTGGAGGCAAGGCTTAATCCTGGATGACCAAATGCAGAGTGAAGCCTGCCCTTTTTCATTATCACAGAATTGCTTGTATGTCCACAGCATACTCACACATGCACACACATACATCCACATGTGTGCATACATACATGTGCACATTTGCATGTGTACTTTCTTGCATGCATATGCAAACACGTACACACACGCACCTTCCTGTAGGAGCAGGCCTTAATGCTTAATCAAGACCTTTGATCTTGTCACTCATGCCTCTGAGATGAGAATGATGACAAGTACAGGGTAGCCGTGTCCCTGGGTGACACACTGATTT